GCATGAGGGAAGTGGGAGGGGTAGGGTAAAGGTAAGAAGGGAAAAGAAAAAACAAGAGAAAAAAAATGGAAACAAAGTCTCTGTAAAAAGGGAAGGGTGGAGAGGGTACATGGCTAAGGGAATGGGGAAAAACTAAGAACCAAGATACACCATATAAAGGTACAAGATCCCAGTGATGAATGTAATTGTACTGTATACCTAAAAAGTACCAATAAACTAAATGAAAAAAAATTAAGGGCAGTGAAAAAAGAATAGAGATGTCACCAAAACTAGCCTATATTTCTATGTTCATATAAAAAAAAAAAGAAATCTATAAGCAGAAACAGAACGAACATAATACAGGGGATATCTTGAGGGATTAAGGTCACTAAGGAATTGTGATAGGCAGCACCAAGGGCCTCAGGGGAAGGACCAACCTTAAGCAAGAGGAGACACATCCACTGCCCCACGTATCTAAAGGCAGAACGGAAACACAGGTAAAGAAGTTTCAGGGTAGGCAAATTGAACTTCTCTATTTTTCTTATTTAATTTTGTCAATAAAATAGCAGATAAAGTTATCAAATCAGATGGGAAAATTATTAAGTTAGAAATAGGAGAAAATTCAAAATAAAGCAGCATTTTAAAAAAGGAAAAGTAAAATTCGTCACCAATGCAGTATATTTTTTCTAATCAGTGAAAATTAGTTGCGTGTTTAATTGCACTGAATTTATGTACAGCCTAGGTCTAAGACTGATTATATTCCCCACTCTCCATTTTTGGCATTCACTTCTCCATTCTCTCCTGCACCTAACCCAGGTTATGCTGACATGATCTTTGACTTCCCACAGAGAAGTATTCATTTTAATTGGCAGGCAAATGATATTATACTCGGAAGGCCCATTGTGCTAAATGACCATTAAACCATTACACTTAAGAACTGCCTCTCAAGACAGAGGCTCCAAATGCTTTGCACAGTATCACTGTTTAACCATCAGCATTTTATAGACAGGGAAATGTCATCACGAACCTCACATGAATTCCTCCAGTTATAAACAAAACATCTGTGTCTAGTTAACTTGCTTGGTTCATCCATGAAGTTAAATGGTGAAAATCTTGGGTGGAAGCCTCATGCAGTTCCATTAAGATTTTCATACGAAAACTTTTGGAACTGCTTCTTCATATCAATAAAGGCATTATATAAATATGTGCCAGATGAATTAGGAATACTTGCTAAGACACATATGATAAATACATTTACAACAGATTACAATTTTGGTTTTATTAATATCCAGAACACTGAGTATTTGCTGCAAAAAGATTCCAGGAAGATCCACACAAACCGATCACCTCTGCTTTCTAATCCAGCCCTCCAGACTCTCCTGACTATAGGCTGGGTGGAACAAGGAGTGAAGCTATGCTCCTACATTTACCTCTGCTCCACAAGCTCAGTGCAGCTATAATCCCTCCTGTACATATTATTGTATTAAAAATATTCATTAATTTGCTAGGACTGATATAATCAAATAACATAGGCTGGGTGGCTTCAACAAAATTTTTCACAGTTCTGGAGGCTAGAAGTCAAACACCAAAGAATATGTGGTTTGAGTTCCAATCAGGCCTCTCTCCATGGATTACAGATAGCCTTACTCTATTCATACTCATCCTTAGAGTCTTTCTCTCCTAAGAAAAACAGCAATCACTCTGAATTTTGGGACCAACCCTACTGGCCTTTTTTTTTTCTGGTATGAGGGACCAAACTCAGGACCTTGTGCTTGTGAGGCTGGTAGGGTGTCACTGAGCTAAATCCCTGGTCCCTATTGGCCTCATTTTAAGTTGATCACCATTTTGAAAGTCTTATCTCCAAATACTGTCAAATGGATCATGGGTCACCCATATGACCTCATTTAACCTTAATTATCTCATTAATGGTCCTATATCAAAATATGGTTGTATTCTAAGATACTGTGGGAGTTAAGAATTCAATTTAGAGATTTTAAAGGAACACAGTTCAGTCCATAACACCATTTAATAAAACTATGCTCTTCCACTTAGTGATTTTAAAAAAAGCTTATCTACCTTACTTCACCTACTATACCACTCTACCTTTGTAGGTCATGAGCACACAAGAAGCCCTTTGAGTTCACACAGCCCAATTTCCACTTTTCACTAAAGCAACTCAGACATAGAGTGGTGAACTAATTTAACTCAGGTCACACTGAACATTATTAGCTGACATGAGTAAGCTACATATTTAATCTTTAAATATTGTCTTAATTTGAACATATTTAGGGAGTAACTATTTAGAAAAAGCTTGTGATGTAAGCTTCCTTTGTAATTTTAAAAGACCATAATTAAAAGATTACATGTAATGATCTATTTTGTAAGGGATCTTTTCCAATTGTGATATTTTGACTTCTTTATTTTAGGTGTATGCAGGCAGTAAGACACAGGGAGCAGTATATAGGTGTGTTTATCTCCTGGACCTGGTCTTGCTTACACTGACGTGTACATATTGCCAACTATTCCTTGCCAAGTATTTGAAATGAAACCCTTTAATCACAGAAAAGTAACAAAAAGCTGCAGCCATGCTGACAACTCCTTCATGTCCAGGTAACTTGTTAAGGAACTGAAAAAGAAGCTTGAGAAAGCAAAAGGGGTTGGAAGACAACTGGCTGGGAAGGCAGAATTGCTCAACTGCAAATGGCGTGTCCCCACATCCCACAGAATTCACGTCTCCAATTCCCCCAGTGTCTTCCATATTGTGACACTCCTTTCTTGTCCCAAAATGTAGAGCTGAAGAGATGATGCCTAATCCAAGGAGGCACTGAAACTCCTGATCTGACTCCAGTACTCTCTAGCAAATCATTAGTATGACACATGCATTATCCAAGATCTCTGTAATGTCAACGAGTACAAACTAAGTGGAGATTGGCAGAACTTGACTTGCTTTATTGGCAAGGTTCTGCCAATAGCAACCTACAGGCCAAAACCAGCCTTCAATCTATCTGTACTTTGGTTTCTTTCCCAACCTTTGAGCTGGGGGAATTTTTTCCCAACATGCAAAAAGAGTTCAAGTGTCAGTAAGTATGAATAAAGATTTTTTTTGAATGATGACACACTCCGTCACATATTACCTAGGGTCACTCCACTGCTACATGGCAGAACTGAGAAATCGTGACAGCCTAAAATATTGCTATCTAGCTCTTTACAGAAAAAGTTTGCAGACTCTGTTACCTAGCTTAGTTCCTCAACCCCAGTACAAAGTACACAGAACTGTATTTCAGAATTTTATCTTTACATTTTTCATCCTGAGAAACTTTAATGATCAAAGCATACTGATATATTGGTAGACTTTAGGATTTTGGAGAATGTGCTACCTTGCAAAGACTACAACATTCAAAATAACCATAATACAGTGATTTGAGACCCAAATCTTCTAAGCTGAGAATTGCTTAGAACACGGTACCTAACTTCCAGGTAAGTAGAGTAACATAGCGCTTGAAGTTACACTAATATTCAACCATTTTATTACAACTACATGAGAGTTGTAATAAAAACAGTTCACATTTCATCACCTAGCTCTAAATCCAAAGTCCGAATTCCAAATCTATCCTCACTTTCCCAGTCCCAACTTTCTCCTCTACTTTATAAAGAAGCAAGAACCTCAGACCCCCAAGAGGAGTCACCTTATTTCAAGATACTTTGAAGATAGCAGAACATCGACTCAGTTTTTGTCTCTGAGTTCCTTTTGGCATGAAATTGTTGCCATAGATCAAACTGGGGTAAAATTCCCCCATACCGGACAGGACTTATTACAAAAGAAATCACTGAACTTAGATTCTAATAGAAACAATAAAGAGCTTAAAGAAGGAAATCTGAACATACCTCCTGTCTGTAGATCCTGAGAATAATTGTCTAGATGAGTGGGATCAGTGATAGGCAGGTTCCTGTAATAGCAAATAGCAGTCTTAAACATTATCATGGAGAAGAAAAAATTACATATTTAATTATTCAGGGTCTTTGCCTGCTTCTTAATACCGTTTCATGAGGTGACATGTTTACTCATCTCAAAGTGAGAAGGATCCACCAAGCACCTCTGCTAAATTTTAAACCAAACCAGAATCTGTCCATTGAAACTACAACTATTTGCAGGGAAGAAGACCCGAGATGAAACGCAGCCATCTTTGTGTTGAGATTTATATTAAGCTCAAGCAGGCACTGATAAGGTTATTTAAGTATGCAAAAGGTTTGCATGGGAGACAAACGTAAATTATAACGCTGCATATCTCACTAGGATGGACCTTTGACTCAATAGCAAAATAAGAAAAAACTGAATAGAAGCACTTTCTTCCCCCCACAGCAAGTGGTTTCTTTGCTTCTAGAATAAAATAAACTCTTAGAAACATTTTAAGAGAAAATATTCTCAGAACTGTAGAACTCTTATAAAACACTACGTCGTCAGTCAACACAGAAAACATGGCGGAGGCAGGCGCGGAGCTCAGAAGCCAGGCCTGCGCCGCCGGCTGTGCGCAGTGTGTGAGCCCGGACTTCCTTGCTTGCAGCCACGGGCGCTCTTTCTTCTCCCCTATCCACTCTCGTCTAGTCACCCGTCCCACCGCACAATCCTGTACCGGGCCCTGTGTCAAGACGAGGCTGCAATGACAGAATGGCTAACCAGATGGTGACCCCTAAATCCCACTGAGGAAATAGTGGGCTTCCCTCAGAGAGACAGGTGGTTGCAAATGCCCCTACTTTCCAGGACGCCATCTTCCCTTCCACAGCGGTCCGTCTCTTCCTATAATGTGCCCAGGGGCCAGGGGTGCCTGTGCAGCAGGAGCGCTCGGCATGTGGGCCCACCCACTTGCGTCATGGCCAGCGTGCATGCGTCCTACCTGTGGTGAGCACTACTGTGGAGAAAAGTAGGCCAGGAGCAGGACCCAAGGAGGCAGAGTCCCAGGGTAAGGCCCTAGTCCAGCTCCGGGCTCGGCTTGACTGCGGGAGACCAAGTTCCCAGCCACCACGCATGTCCGACGCAGGAAACTAAGACTGCCCACTTGTGGCAACACTGACAACGCTCCTCCGAGGCTGATCTTGGCCTCCCACCCTCGTTGAGGAGCAAAGGGACCTTCAGCAGCCCAAGGAGCAAGTAAGAGGCCTTGTAGAAGCTCTTCTATAATGCAGACACACAAAGATTCAAAAGAAGGAAACAAGTTGTAATCTTTTATATTCTATCATTTCTTACATGGTAAAATAAATCCTAGGGTCTACTAAGAATTATCTAATTACTGGTGTAGCACTTTAAGGAAATATGACAAAAGTTTCTAACCCGAATTTTTCATCCCAAAAAAAAAAAAAGCAAACCCACGAAGTCTTAGATTCTGAAGTATCTTTAATTCAGAGAGCACAATTCTGTTTCCTTAACTTCCTTTTGGTAGGAAAAAATAACTTGCCTCAGAGATTCTCTTAGACTGAAATTGAATGTCCACAGTTAACTATTGCTGAAGTTCAAATATTATTAATCCAAATAGGAACAATTAGAGTTTCCAGAATTAACAATAAAAATACAAGATACCGAGTTAAATTTCAATTCCAGATTAATGCATTTTCATCTCATATGTATATCCTGTTCAAGATTTGAGATATATTTGGGACTTAATTATACTAAAATATATTTGTTGATTATGAAAAATTGAAATTTAATTGTGTATTCTGAAGTTTATCTGACAACCTTAAAATTAACTTTAATTTAAAATGCTTTTAAGGTTGGTCAAAAGTAATGAAAAAGTTTAGTAAACATGGAATGAGTCCAAGTACTTTTTAGTCTCTGTCCTCTTATCTGAGCAATAAGGAGCATGAAATTTAATTATTACATGGGCCTTCAATGAGAAATTTTTAATATAATGTTAGTCCAGGTATAAGATAAATAATGATATCTTTTGTTTTTTTAACTTTGTTAAATTGCTTGTATATGAATCTAAACAATTGCTATAATTAATTTATAGTACTTACAAGGTAAAAATGAATTAAAAGAACAAAAAGTGGATTTTTTTTTTTTAGTTCCAGTCCTGGCCCTCATAATGAACTATCAGTGTAGTTCAACAACTAAACAATGGGAAGGCATTCTCTCTTCTACTTTGGTATGTTTACTGCATCAAATAAATCAATTTAAAACTTCTCCATTCCATCTCTTCCATTATTTCAATTGTGAAAAAAAAGGGGGGATTCAAACCAATTAATCCAAATGCTTACTCAAGATACAGTCTGCTTAAGTGTTGCCTTGCATGATGTCTGACCTCTTGAACTCACAGAGGGGAAATTAAGGCAGAAAAACTAGCAGTTCAAATCAGCTTGAAGACATGGTAAGATTTAATCTTTGCAGTTCCCTAAGGCAAGTAAGTTTGAGCAAAATTACCAGAGTAACATGTTGAAGAATAGCTTATTTTTAAGGACTGAAATGGCCCCAAACACTAAACATTTAGAAGAACAGACATTTCAGAAATTCAAGATTGTCATATTAAATTACTAAAGCATAATGACATGGACAGGTCAACAAATCAGAGAGAAGTTTAGTGCAAAGCAAAAGAAATTTATATAATTGCATACAAGGGCTCTTTTGCCTGGGAAAAGTTACCTTAACTTACCTTAATGGACATCATGGTAGACATAATGCCATATCTATTTCAGAATTACTTTTATCATACAATGGGTCTAGAAGCATTTTTGTTTCTTGATATTATTAATTGGCTTGAGTAAACCAAAAAGGAATTAGTTTCTTCAGAGATTTCCTCTAGATATTCAATCCGGGAAGCCTCACCAGGACTTTGAAGCCCTTCAAAATAATCCACTGAATGTGCCATGGTGGTTCTAAAACTTGATCCATCCTTGGAAAGGTCTTAGGATTTCAGGTGTTTATTTTTATATTTGTAAATTCCATGGTTAGAGCATTTCAAATAACTAAAGAAAAGGACAGCATACAAAAACATGAAAAGAATGAAGATTCTCAAGATATTTTACATATCCAAGAATCACCTCTGGAAATGTGTTACAAGTGCAATTTCTAGTCTCCTTTATGGAAGACTGGTTGAGTGAGTCTGATGCAGTAGTTCTAAATTTTTCTTTTTAAACAATGCTTATATTATGTAATGAGCAATATAAAATGCTAAGTACTAAAAGCTCAGAAATGTAAATACGTACTACTCCCTTGCAAAGGTTTATTGCCACTTGAGCACTTAATTTCTCAGGACAGACCTATAGGGTACAAGCATTAATCACACTTTACAGAAGAGAAAGTTGAGAGCCAAAAAGATCAAAGAATCCTCATCCACTCAAAACCAGTACATGCAGAAGAGACAAGTTCATTCATTCATTCATTCATTATTTCTCACACCTGTATGCCAAATATTTTCCAGCACACTTGTCTATTCTATTACTCTAGCCTACTTACTATCCTCTAAACCTGCCCCTGAGCTTCCACTTTTTCCTCCTCCTCTTTTTCCTACTCCTCTTCCATTCCTGAAGCATTCTTATCCTTGACTCCTTCACTTCATTCAGTCTCTGACAAAATTACTTCTCAGAGAGGTCTTCTATGATTATATTATTTAAAATTACACTTTGCACGGGGTATGGTGATGTGTGCGTATAATCCGATCACTCTGGGAGGTTGAGACAGGAGGATCACAATGTTCCAGCACAGCCTTGGCAATTTAGCAACTTATGGAGACCCTACCTCAAATTCAAATTTTAAAGCATTTGTAAAATACTAGGTATATTGTTCTATGTGAAGGGCTTGGGTTTAATTCCTAGTACCACAACAAATAATATTACATCTCTCCCCTAGAACACTCTTCCATCCTCTTGCCATCTTCTTCTGTAGATTAATGGATAAAGAAAAGATATTGCTCTTACAAGGGCTATGTGTAGTACACATATCACTTCAGGTTACTTACTTACATATACATTTACTCATTTTATACCAGTTTCTCTATCCGGGATGGTAATTGTTAACCTTATACAATCAGAGCCACCAGAATCACAGATTCTTCATTCCCTCCACAGAGATTTGACTGAAATAATGCTAGTGGTGCTGGCCAGCAAACCATTGTGAACAGCCATGCCATAGGGCACTAGTTTCTATCCACTTGCACCCTCAAACCTCTAGGGAACATTTCCTTCTATCTAGAGAGGTTTTGGGTTATCACAACTGGAGTAAGGGGAGCTACCCAGCATTAAGAGTAATAGGCAAGAACACTACTAAACATCCTACAGCACACAGGAGAGCCCTCTGTTACAAAGGATCACCCAGTCCAAAATGTCATTTGTGCCAAGGATGAGGCACTACACCACCCAGGAAAGCACTCAAACACCATCATTGATCAAGAGCTGAAGAACTCTGTAAATTTTATTGACCAACCAAGTATTCAGAGTTTCTGATTAGTTGGGTTAAGTCCACTAAGGGTCTCTTCACTCCTCATTCCGCTGAAGTAAAATGTGGCACAGGATAGTCACTCAAGTTTCTAATTTTTTTTAATATCAACACCACCAATCCGCACAGTGATTCTCATACCAGGAAGGCCTGTATTATAGAGTGAGAAAGAAGAGTTCGTGGAGTTTTGTTTGTTTGTTGTTTTGGTAGAACAACCGAGGCTCTTTCTATTCCAATTGACCTCTTGGCACATTTACTATGAACAAGAGAAGCCTGAGGAGAGTTCATATCTTTGCCCCTGTGCCCTACCAGTTTGCCTGGTAGGCTGCTCAGATTACGACCCCACCGAGAATCCACAAAAAGAAATTTGGAATGCAAGACCTGGCTTTTCCTATTTATCTGTTTATGATGAAGCTACATGTTCCTGCCACCATCACACAATTCCCATTTTCCAAAAGCGAGCTCAGAGAATAATATTCCTTTTCTCCCCCCCCACTATCAGGTGCTTGAGTGTGGTCCCTATCATTTAACACAACTGGTGTCTTGAATATACTTGCACTTTCATAACCACATCTCTGGCAGTTATTCACTTTGAGATAGTATCTTCCAGGTGCAGCCAATTACCTCTCCTTGCATCATTTTCTGGGTAAATATTAAATCCAGATCCTTTTATCCTGTGCCCAAGGCCATCAATGAAGCAGTTGATCTCCATAATTTAAACATGTCTGATACCTTAGATTCAATTGCTCTGTTGAAGACAGGCATTTAATGAAGCACTGGTGAATGGGAAGTTTAATGGCTGAAGTGAGGACACTCCATCTTACAAATCTCTTTTTACTCATGTGAACTCATCAGCCAGTCTTATTGATTTGCATTTACTGACTGGACTTTCTATTGTTTTCAGATGTTAGTATCCTCTGCCAGTGCCTGCAGGCTATTAGTTGCAGGGTTAAGCTTTCTGTCCTGAAAACTAAAAACTTCTTTATTGAATTGAGAAGGCTGAAGCCTCCATAGAACTTGGAGAATCCAACGCATTCAGAAATCTGGAAAGAAGTATTTCACTAGCTGTCTTCATCTTAAAACAGCAAGAATATACATACATATTATTAAAAATCTTCAAAAATGAACACGATTCACTCTTTAAAACAGCAATGTGGCTTTTGCTGTCATAAATTTTTAATTAAAAATACCCTTAAAACTGTACTTTCTATTCTATAGAAGTCACCTGTGTAAGTGTACAATTCAATGATTCTTAGCAAAGTTAGAGTTTTGCAGCTATCACCACTCTCTAACTTTGGGACATTTGCATCATCCTAAAAGAGATCTCAAGTCCATTTGTGGTTACCTATCTGCAGCCCCACTCAGACACCAATCTACTTCCTGATTCTATAGAATTACCTTTACTGAGAATGACACTTAAACAGAATCATGTCATTTTTTGTGTCTGGTAACTTTCATTTAGCAAAATATTTGTGATATCCATCCATGTTGTAGCCATATTAGTATTTCATTCCTTCTTATTGCCAAATAGTAGTATTCATTCTGTGGATATATTACACCTTCCTTATTTACTCATTAATTGATGGACTTTTGTATTATTTGGCTAATTGCCATGAATAATGTTATGAATATTTATGGTAGTTTTATGTGGATGTATTTTCATTTCTCTTGGTCATACAATCCTACAAGTAGAAATTTTGGATCATATAGGATACATGTGTTAAACATTTTAAG